CCTTGTCCAGGTGATAAGTCACCTGGTCATAAAAGGAAATTATATTTTTAAAGTGTTTCCCCTGGAACTCTGTTTACATGTTCTTGAGATGTAAATTTCTGAACGCTTCACTGGAAAGCTGTCTCTGGCAAAGTGTTACTTCAGTAGCATTTCTAGTGGACTCTGATCCCACCTCTGAATGAATTGGTCACTGCTTTGAGGATCGCTTTTGGACAAGTGCTTGAAGGAAAAAGAAAAACTCCATAGTCATTGTAAAATAATTTAAGGTGAGTCCATATTTCAGCACATTCCACAACTTCCCCTATCTTACTCAGTCTGGAATAATTAGGGTTCAGTTGTTGGAAAGAAATTCCCTTTTGCTCTCAATGCAAAATGTGTATGTGTTGTATGGCAGTTGTGCTCAACCTTTAAGCCTTGTGAGCCATACAAGTGGCACAGGGCCTGCCTGTGGGCTGGATCTGGGATTGTTTCCTGGTTGGGCCCAGAGCAATCCCAGCCACCCCCCAGAGCCAGAATCAGGTCCTGGGCACCTGACACCACCTCACCTCCTGGATTCTCCTCCAGGGAGTTTAGACTAAGGGTATCGATAGAGATTTTTTGGGCTGATACTGATATGACCAATTTTTAAGGAGCCATATTGGCCAATCCGATTGCTGATATTCAGCCCGGTCAGTGTCTGGCTGGTAAGCCTGTTGTGGGGAAGGGTCCCCGGAGAAGGAAGGAGGGGGGGTGGGGCAGATCAAGGCCCCCACTGTGAGGGAGGGAGTGGGGTAGGGGCAAGGGCAGGCGCCACACAGCTGGGGCGGGGTGTGGGATGGAGCCACAAGCAGCTTGTCTGGAAGGTGTGGGGGTGGGGGCAGCTCCTACCACTGCATGCAGCCCAGGAGGGCATGGGGGTGCATGTTCCCCTGGTTCTGCACGTGGGGCAAAGATGGGCTGCTGCTGCAGGCTGGGGCCAGGGCTTCACCGGGCTCTTCCTGGCAGGGGGGGTGGGCCAGGGCTGTGCTTGGGGCAGATGGTGGCAGGTGCTGGGGTGGGGGCTGTAGCCACCCCAAAATTTGCCATAGCCTCCCCCAACCCCTCCTCCCAGCACTAGTGCCCAGCCCAGCCCCCTGCCAGGAAGAGCCTGGTGCTGCCCTGCCCCAAGCCTGCCCTCGCCCCATGTGCAGGACCAGGGGAACATGCCCCCACATGCTCTCTTGGGGTTTGCACAGTGGTGGGAACCACTCCCTGTCCCTGCGCCCCCCTGGACGAGCTGCTTGCGGCTCTGTCCTGTGCCGTGTCCTGCCCTGGCTGGGCAGTGCCTGCCTCTGCCCCAGCCCCACTCCCACCCTC